CTTTATATCTTCTATAAAGCTTCAAATCCTTTTTGTAGAATTTAATATTGAAATACTCAAAATAAAGGAATATTATTTGCTTCAATCAATTGATTGAAGCAACTAATTTTCCTTTATTTTCAGTATTTTAATATCAACATTTGATATAAAAAGTTATTTTAGGCTTCAATAACTTCTACTTATTATATGCGAGCGCTTTCGATAACAGGCTTTACTATCATCTTCATGGCTTCATGAGTAGATGAATATTTCACTTATGAACCTTTAATTGTTCTAGTGGCAATTATACGTAGATTGCAGAAAATTACCCGATCCTTCGCTTTGTGTCCAAATGAATAGATACCTCCATTTATGGGAGAAGGTTATAGATGGTACCACTATGAAGGAGGCGGCGGATAGAACTAATGATGTTCTGCAGGTATGATCTCACTTATAATCACGCAGATCCAAACTATATATTATTTGAAATCAGTTTCGAATGCTGATTTTTGGAATCCATTTACCAATTATGATGTCATAGTATAGCCCAGACAAAATAGATATTCCAGTTTGCATCAATTCCCAACAAGCTGGATTTTCGTAGAGACCTTGAATACGTCAACATGAATGAAATGTTAAAAGTTCCCATCGAGACCACTTGTGCGTTATTTTTTATTCGAGGTCAAAGTTCAGAATTTTTGTTTTTTGGTTATATATCTTTAATGGTGGAGCTACCGGATAAATGGTTAAGAGAAAGTTTGTAGACTGTAAAATTCTCTACAAAAATGGTTTCAATACTTCTTTCTTAGGAAGCATCGTTATTCCGATTTTAAACTCAGAAAATTCAAAAATGCACTCATAAATGGCCACTATGATTAATCAGAAGCCTTTCTGATGAACGAAACAAAGATAGGTGACAGAAAACAATCTGATAATGTTTAGTTTTTGTCTCTCATGCACTGACGTATGTGGAATGTATACGATTCTCAGTGAGGTGGAGGTTGACATTGAGTAACTTCTGCCTGCGACAGTTTTCTATTCAGTAAAATGACGGGCTAAGCATTTAGGAGTTTTCAATTGAAACGCGTTGATGAAGTACTACCCCTGTCACGTAAAGCTTGGCACAAATAGGCCTTTTCATCACAATTTTTTTTGTGCGCATGCGTGAGTATCAGCCATCTTTTTCGTACTGTTTTTTGTAAACAACTATGTTAAAGAGCCCGCAACTCACGTTTCAAAAATTAAAATATAAATTGAAGTTTATTAATTGTAAAAAAAGTTTTAAAAAAAATGCAGTAAGTCAAAATAATCAGAAAAAATGTTTTACACTCCATTATAATTATGTTATCTGTACGAAAAGCAACAACAAAACGGTGTTGTTATGGTGTATGTAAAAATTATACACGATACAAATCATTCAAAACCAACACATACTATTTTATAAATTTTCCAAAGCCTTGTCTTGAATATCGCAAGAAAAATAATCAAACCATCAGGCAAATTACATATTAAAGCATGTGCGAAATGTGAATTATGGGAGAAAAAATGTGGCAGGAGTGACCGAGGCTTTAAATCTATTGATGATGTTACCAAGGATACTTATATTTGCTCACTACATTCCATTGGAGAAATAGGAGAAAGTGGTCCAACTGAACAAAACCCTGATCCTTCAAGCTATCAGGAATTTCAACTTACATACATTATTCCTTAATGCTTTTTTGACTGTAAATTTCATTAATTCCATATATATAATGTTGTATTAAATATTTTCCTCTAATAAAAATTACTAAACATATTCAATTCAGTATTTACATATTTGTCTAATTAATAATGTCATGTGTACAGCCTCAAAATACTAATGGCTTGATTTATTTATTAGTTCCATAAGTAATACTCTTGTCAACTGAAATATATTTTCAATTATATCGAATGATTGACATTATTAATAAGAATAAAACTGTAAATACTATTTTTTTATATGTTTTCAGATGGTAAACAAATGCTGATACCTAACCTCTCAATAAGCTCACTTTTTTCCTTTTTGCGGACGCCCATGACGTTTTAACCACCTTTTTAATTGTTCACAATTATGAGCCTCAACTGAATTATTTACAAGTGAAGCACCATCAAGTTTTTTCCAATCATTTATTTGTTTTTAGAGATAATATTCCTTGCCCAGCCATTGTTGATTAAAACAGTACGAATGTTTTGAATTACCGCCATTTCAATATGACAGCTACGATTGCATTTGTCTTATGATGAAAAGGCCTATTGCGTGGAGTGACGCAGCACAGCGCGATCTTTTGTAACCCATGAAAACCAATTGAACAGCGCAAACTGGTACCGGTCACGAGGTGGCGCGACAAGCCTGACACATGACTCGCGTGGCACAGTGGTTGAGACACAGTTTTCGTGCCAATTCTTTCGCGTGTCGCCAGAAGCTTTGAATACTCAGTAGGAGTAGGTTGTTGGGCATGTCGTTAATATACAACAGGAACAATGTGGGACCGAGAACCGATACCTGTGGTACACCAGTATTTATTTTGAGCAGTATTGAAATTATTTCTGGAACATTCACTCTTTTCGCTGATGACACCACTATATTGTGTCACAGAAAAGGTAAAGATATACTCAATGAGACAATAGCTCGTGATATACAAAAAATTAAGTTTTGGTGTGGTTCCAATCTACTCTCCCTTAATATTTCTAAAACAAATATGACGTTTGAATGTTCACTTCAGAATTTATTTGTAGTGGGTGGTATCATTGAGAACTGTATAAATTTCTGGAACTGTATATAGACGGTGTATTGAAATTTGACATTCACATCAGAAAGATAAAAAGCAAACTTTTCCCCGGCTGTTATGCAGTGAGAGTTCTCTGTATCTGTAGAGTAGGGAGAGTACCCATTATACATCCTCGCGAGGAGTTGTCCTCCTGGGTCATCATGTCCTTTCCAGGAAGGTAAACATGTCACTAGGAGACATCTCCTTTATATTAGCAGGTGTAGGCCAAGACACGCCGAATACACACTCTCTTTGGCAACCTTTAGGTGTCTCACGGTGGCCTCCGCGAAGGTTTTGGAAGGTGCAGCGATATTACTGCCGTTGCGCGGCTTCTTCCTCTTGGCTTCCTTCCGTGGAGGTGCACAAGTGAGGGAGCTTTCCTGCAGGGGCAGCCGGTTCCCTGCCTTTATTCAAGGAGGAGCTCTTGGCGCCCGCCGCAGGAAGTGCCCTTGCTGTTGGAGGTGGAGTGGGAGAGGAGTTATAGTTGCTGCCAGTGCTGCCTCTTTCGCTCTCTTTCTCTTTTTGGCCTCGGCGCCGCAAATGCGCTTGCGCTTCGGCTTTTGTGTTACATCACGAGGTGATCTGCTATGTCCAACCTCATTCCGAGCCACCGCCATAGATTGAGGTGAGCACTTGTGTCCAGCCTTGGGATTGGTTTTTGGTTTTGTTGTGTCTGTTTTTGTGTTTGTTTCATTCATGTATTCCCACGAGTAGCAAGGGAAGAGATATGCACTTCTACCAGAGGCAGGCTAATTACAATGAGGTTTTACCCGGTTCCCCAAGGGGATCGTCCGTAACCGCATATCACCCTGCGGCCATTCAACTGTCGAAACGATTCCTTACACCTTAGTTTGGGTAGGCTGGTTCACGGTGGCATGTTTAACAAAGTCTTTTGGGGAGTTTCAGTTCCCCTCCTCTCACTTATTTCTGCCACTGACCAGGAGTCCGGCGACCCCGTCCGTAAAGCCACATTGGCTTTTCGGACAGGGCCCCCAGTCCCCTGGCCGCTCCCCACCTGGGGACGCGCATGATAGGTAGCCCAACCCATGGGATGCAGTGAGAGTTATTGCTAGAGAACTTGGAGTTCATACTGCGAAAACAGCTTATCACCCTTTGGTAGAGTCTCTCTTAAGGTACGGTATACCTTTTTGGGGTGTGTGTAGCCTTAATTTGCTGGAGTCTGTATTTGTATTATAGAAGAGAGAGCTAAACCGCGTGACTCAGGCAGACAACTCAAGCAGACGGTTGAGTGATTTTACTCTATCATTAACGAGCAAACAATGCAAACATTGGTCTTCAACATCATTGTCGGATTCTGATTCCGAACTCAATCGGGCATTGCAGTACAACTGCCTCTTCGAAACTGCGTTCAGTTTGCGGATCATTCACGCTACGCGTGTGACGCGCGCTGGTCAGCTCACAAGCGCTCAATATGCGCTTGAGAGCAGCACCATGAAAATCCATGATATGAAGATAGCGATCAATCCTGTTCAGCTATTTCAACGCATCAGTATGAAGAAAACTTCTTTGAATCCGAATTGACCTATTCCCGATTATCGCTCTTGATGCAATGATGGCGCGTAAGACACAGAAGTCAACTGTTTATGATTGTTTTGAATGTGTGAAAATTGGATCGAGAGTGTCAGTGCTACTGAATATCTTGAGTATTTTAATTGCTTGAAAAACGTAATATATAAATGAATTTTCCAGTTACTAGAGGAACTGGAGGACCTAATCGACAACTCTATTGACGAAGATGAAAAGAAAAAGGAGATCTGGAGATGGGTAACTAGTTTTCAGACTGATGATTTGCGATATTGCACTTGATAATGATTTCAGGTTCGTCAGTTATTTAGAGAACATCAGAAAGAGAGTTTGGATGTAGCGACATACAGACTGTTGAGATGCGTCGAGAAAAATTTGAATAGAATTGATATACCTACTGCAGACTTCAATTATAAAAATGACGACATCAATCTGAGTATTTGGTTAAGGGTTCAATTGCCGATACCGCTTCCGAATCCAAGAAGACCTCCGAAGTAATCACATAATGATATTGAAACCGTTCCAGTCTATGTATTTTAACTAAAATCGTTGTCTTTTTCGCTTTAAATGATTGAAAACGTTCATTTATTGCTTTTTGTACATAATATGAGTGATTAGTTTGGATGGTATGTAGGGGCCTAGCTTTGGGCTCTTCTGGGACGGTGTTAGTTTTCATGGTTATTTTGGCTGTGGCTTTACAATGTTATCTTAATCTAAATCAGTAAATCTAGAGTGTTAATGGTTAGATTTTACTAGTTTAAATAAGGTAACAATGCTCCTAATTCTAGGTTAGTAGAGTTAGTGGGTTTTCTCATGATCATTGGGCATTGCCAGCCATGGTCCTGATGATATGGTGTTGTCAGTGTCTTTATTCGTGGTTGCGTCGAGTGCATGGTTCAAGTACAGCAGCAGATAGTCAGAGTGTGATTAGAGGGTAAGAGAGGAGTGGCTTCGGGTTGTGGGCTGTCCACTAATTAATCGCCAGCAGGAACTCGTCAAGGATGTCCTGAAATCGCTCGAGAATGCCCTTCAGGACTACTAGGAGCCTGGATGGAGGAAACGGGAGCTTCTTCGTCGGGATCCTTCCGGAGCCCATGTCAGGCTTCCAGGGAGTGGCCAGAGTGTCAAAGGCAGCGGCGTTAGTGATTGTGTGTTGATTGTCCTTATTCGTGGTTTCGTCGAGTGCATGGTCCAGGTACAATAGCAGAGGGTCGGGGTGGGATTAGAGGGTAGGATTAGAGGTAGTGTTCGAACTCTGGAGTGGCTTCAGGTTTTGGGCTGTCCACTACCTGATAGCCAGCGGGAACTCATCAAGGATGTCGTGGAATCGCTCGAGGATGCTTTTCAGGGCTACTAGGAACCTGGATGGAGGAAACGGGAGCTTCCTCATCGAGATCCTTCCGGAGCCTATGTCAGGCTTCCAGGAAGTGGCCAGAGTGTCAAATGCAGCGGCGTTAGTGATTGTGTGGTGATTGTCCTTATTCGTGGTTTCGTCGAGTGCATGGTCCAGGTACAGTAGCAGAGGGTCGGGGTGGGATTAGAGGGTAGGATTAGAGGTAGTGTTCGAACTCTGGAGTGGCTCTAGGTTTTGGGCTGTCCACTACCTGATAGCCAGCGGGAACTCATCAAGGATGTCCTGGAATCGCTCGAGGATACCCTTCAGGGCTACTAGGAGCCTGGATGGAGGAAACGGGAGCTTCTTCGTCGGGATCCTTCCGGAGCCCATGTCAGGCTTCCAGGGAGTGGCCAGAGTGTCAAATGCAGCGGCGTTAGTGATTGTGTGGTGATTGTCCTTATTCGTGGTTGCGTCGAGTGCATGGTCCAGGTACAGTAGCAGAGGGTCGGTAGTTTGGATGTAGCGACATACAGACTGTTGAGATGCGTCGAGAAAAATTTGAATAGAATTGATATACCTACTGCAGACTTCAATTATAAAAATGAAGATATCAATCTGAGTATTTGGTTAAGGGTTCAATTGCCGATACCGCTTCCGAATCCAAGAAGACCTCCGAAGTAATCACAAAATGATATTGAAACCGTTCCAGTCTATGTATTTTAACTAAAATCGTTGTCTTTTTCGCTTTAATTGATTGAAAACGTTTACTTATTGCTTTTCGTACATATAAGTGAGTAGGTTAGATGGTATGTAGGGGCCTAGTTTTGGGCTTATGCCTCTTCTGGGACGGTGTTAGTATTCAAGGTTATTTTGGCTATGGCTTTACAATGTTTTTCTTAGTCTAAGTTAGTACATTTAGAGTGTTAATGGGTAGATTTTACTAGTTTAAATAAGGTAACAATGCTCCTAATTCTAGGTTAGTAGTGTTAGTGGGTTTTCTCATGGTCCTTGGGCATTGCCAGCCATGGTCCTGATGATATGGTGTGGTGAGTGTCTTTATTGGTGGTTGCGTCGTGTGCATGGTTCAAGTACAGCAGCAGATAGTCAGAGTGTGATTAGAAGGTGAGAGAGGAGTGGCCTCGTTTTGTGGACTGTCCACTAATTATTCGCCAGCGGGAACTCGTCATGGTTGTCCTAGAATGTCCTCCATGGCTACTCGGAGCCTGGCTGGACGAAACGGGAGCTTCTTCGTCGGGATTTTTCCGGAGCGCATGTCAGCAGCGTTAGTGATTGTGTCAGTGTCTAGTGCATGGTCCAGGTACAGTAGCAGATGGAAGGGGTAGAATTAGAGGGTAGGATTTGAGGTAGTGTTCGAACTCTGGATTGGCTTCAGGTATTGGACTGTCCACCACCTGATAGCCAGCGGGAACTCGTCAAGAATGTCCTGAAATCGCTCGAGGATGCCCTTCAGGGCTACTAGGAGCCTGGATGGAGGAAACGGGAGCTTCTTCATCGAGATCATTCCGGAGCCTATGTCAGGCTTCCAGGGAGTGGCCATAGTGTCAAATGCAGCGGCGTTAGTGATTGTGTGGTGATTGTCCTTATTCGTGGTTGCGTCGAGTGCATGGTCCAGGTACAGTAGCAGAGGGTCGGGGTGGGATTAGAGGGTAGGATTAGAACTTTGGATTGGCTTCAGGTTTTGGGCTGTCCACTACTTGATAGCCAGCGGGAACTCATCAAGGATGTCGTGGAAGAACTCTGGATTGGATCCAGGTTTTGGGCTGTCCAGTACCTGATAGCCAGCGGGAACTCGTCAAGGATGTCGTGGAATCGCTCGAGGATGCCCTTCAGTACTACTAGGCGCCTGGATGGAGGAAACGGGAGCTTCTTCATCGAGATCCTTCCGGAGCCTATGTCAGGCTTCCAGGGAGTGGCCAGAGTGCCAAATGCAGCGGCGTTAGTGATTGTGTGGTGATTGTCCTCATTTGTGGTTGCGTCGAGTGCATGGTCCAGGTACAGTAGCAGAGGGTCGGGGTGGGATTAGAGGGTAGGATTAGAGGTAGTGTTCGAACTCTGGATTGGCTTCAGGTTTTGGGCTGTCCACTATCTGATAGCCAGCGGGAACTCATCAAGGATGTCCTGGAATCGCTCGAGGATGCTTTTCTGGGCTACTAGGAGCCTGGCTGGGGTAAACGGGAGCTTCTTCGTCGGGATCCTTCCGGAGCCTAGGGGGTGGTTAGGGTGTCAATGGCAGCTGCGTAAGAGTTGTTGACATATCGGTCTCAAAGTTCCTGGAATCTCAAGTTGATAGTTGTGAGTTTCACAATATCGTAAAGTTCGTTGAAGGATTATTGATAAAGGAGGTTGAGAATTTTGCGGAGTATTCTCCTCGATGGGCGATGGGCTTGTGTCGGATTATATCATGACTTTATGGTCCAGAATTGGTCTTATAAACATTTCATATGTGCGTAGTAGAGTCAACTTAATGAATAAGTATAGTTTTAACTCTTTTTTTCACTCTGTTGCCTGCTAAATTAAATTCTAAAAGAAATATAAGTTTATCTTGACTTTTATAATAAATGATGAAACACAAACAGATATTCCTTTGGAAAATGTTAAAAGGAGATACTGAGTTATTCGCGGATGACATATTACTTTGTTTTTCTTGTGATAATGAAGAAATTCACAATAACATGATTAATGACAATACATTGGTGACCTCTTGATTGAACTATCACAAATGGTCAATTATAGACTTCTTTCAGCTATGCCGATCGGTTCCAAAATTATTGAAATTATTTGAATATACTGATGAAACAAAATTATTGTTTAATGGACAAGTTGGGTTTCGAAAACAATGTGATACCAGAATCTGCGGTATCACATGTCATTACAAAATTTCAAATCGGTTTGGATCCGAATATCAAATGTGCACTCCTCTCATTAGAACTTAGAAAATCATTTTGAATGGTAGATCATAAAATTCATTTGAATATTTTATACAATGTTGGCGTTAGAGGTACTGTACTCAGTTAGTTCAAACTGTTCGTATATATGGGAGGAATTTGTAGGTCAAAGAAAACTGCACTATTTGGGGTTCCACAGGGATATTTCCTTGGACCAATAATTTTCCTAGCATATAATATGATTTCAATAGATGACTTGAGTTTATTAGATAAAATCCATATGTCTACTGGTGATACATCTTTGATGCGTTCAGGAAATGATTTAAAAGTTCATTATGGATGAAATTTCACAAATTATGAAAAATAGTCATTCATGTTTATTACACGTTCATTCAACGATTTGAAACCATCTTCTGAATACCATAATATGACTCTCAATTAATCATCATCTGTCAAGTTTTATAGCTTTACTTTACTTAGAGGGAAATTTATCGTGGTGTGAACATGTGTGGAAAATGTATCACTCTGTCTCTTAAGATAGATATATAGATAGATAGATAGTTTATTTGACTACGTATATGTAATAAACATTTGTAACAAGTCAGGTGATAAGGCAAACATTTAAAATTGAATAATACCTAAATAAAATAAAAAACATTAACACTACAGTATAACGAAAACACAAGGCACCCAAGAAGGAGACCATAATTTTTTTCAAATACATTATTACAAGCAGCACTTTCGCTTAAAAGATAAATCCGGGAATTACCATGGAAGCAGCCATATATTCATTTATACTAGAAATGCCTTCATCAAATGTTTTATGCCCTTTTTAAAACGTGTCTGTGATATGTTCTTGACTGTAGTTGGCAAGATATTGTATAGATTAACATCTAAGACATTCTTGGCAGATTTCTGTAGATTGAATTTAGCATGTCGTATAAGATTAGCACCACGTGTTTCATAGTTATGGAAGTGGGTTAGTTAAAAGAGTGCCCTTGATTTTATGTACCTCCAGCAGTGACTGAAAAATGAAAATCGATGGAATAGTCATGATTCCCAATTTTTTTAACAATGGACGACATGTGTCCCGATAATCCGCATTAGAAATTATCCTCATTGCTTTTTTTGTGTAACAAATATCTTTCCTGCAGAACTAGAATTACCCCAAAGAAGCGTCCCGTAGCTAATAAACGAATGGAAAAAGGCATAGTAGACAGCAAGAAGAGTGACAATAGAAACGAATTCTCTCAATTGCCTCAACAAAGACAGATATTTGGATAAAATCGTATTTAATTCATCAATATGACATGTCCAATTTAGGAGGTCATCCAAAGTTATACCAAGTAATTGGGTTGTTTTACCTTCCAAAAGCAAGTTATTGGAAGAAAATATCAGTCTCTGGGTTTTTCCCATATTATCTAAGTTTGAGAAGATTCGCATTGAACCATTTTTCAGCTTGGCTTTCAGCAAATTTTGAGATTTTCAATAAATTTTTGCAATTTTTGTCTGAACAGACAATAGATGTGTTTTAGTTTCGGATATAAGATCAAATATAGGTAAATAATTTATTGGAGTGGTTTCGAACTATATGAAAATTTACCAATTTAATTGATGGAAGTCAGCTGAATAAAATTCAAGAAAGGTCTGAAAAAATATC